CCAAAACAAACAAACAAACGGTCACATTATAACGCCCCCACGGCTGAAAGGGTGAGAACTGCGACCCTCAGATTGCGAGTTGAGCGCCCTAACCACCTGGCCATTAGATGGATAGAAACAAAAGTTTTTTTTATATATTATATATATATGTTATACTAAGACTATTGTAGCAATAACCTCAAACACCCTAACTTAGATATTCCTGTATGTTGAATACAATATCTTTATTTATACTATAGTATTGTTACGTCTCCGCTTGTTAATTAACTTTCCGTAACTTCGTTCCGACAAAACCGTAAAGAACTTGTGTCGCTAAAAATAAACCAGTTTTATTAACTTTCCGAATACAACTTTACCGTAGACAGTGAGTAATTGATCTGCAGTCAGAAATATTATTGAGCACGTTCGTTGTTATAGCGTTTGTTTAGCGCGATTGTTGAAGTTAAGTGTATTACACACATTACCTTCTCCTCGCGTCACGTTGTCCCCTCTTATATATATACCCGACTACCCTATCTTGTAAATACTAGAGCATTTCTGAAAGAACAAGATAGTTCTAGAAACTAGAGGGCGCCACACCAGTCACGTGACCTCGATGACGCAACACTATTGATTAATCAAAATTACGATTAAATCAGATAATGTTATGAAAATAATCGACTGGTCGAAATTACTGCTTCTAATTATTACTATTTTCAGTTATTCCAACTATTGTTCTGTGAAAATAATCGTTTAATGAGAGTAGGATTACATCTCGTACCAAATTCCTTTAATTTCTCAGCTCTCTTATGATGTTTTAAGTAATATTTTGATTGATAAGTCCTAATGATAATAATAACTTATTGTTACTAAACTCTTTATCGTACACTGTTCCATTCCTGGCCTAGAAATAGGTGACTGAGTATGGGGAAAATACCTGCTTTATGACTTTTCACAAAACGTTAATAATTAATATCAATATATAACAAAACCTACTGTACCAAAGCTCTTCATTGATAGTATTTAACTTTGACAGCTAGTGACAGTATTTAAATGTTAGTTTTTCAATTATTTGGGATTGATTGTTGTTATTTCTTAATATAAACTACAAACTTTAATTGGTTTCACTTGTAGTAGCCTATAAGATTCATTGAAACCTAATTATTAATTCTGTCGTGATGCTTTTTAAATGCTTGTATATCAAGTAAAAACTAATTGTTTCAACAATTCAAAAATATTTTAGAATATTATTTTGCAACATTTATTTACTGTGATTCTCAAAGAAAGATTAAAAAAACAGTGTTACAACTTTCACTTCTATGTAACAACCCCCTCAATGATTTGTTTTTAAAAATTTTCTATTCATCCCAGAGCATGGGTTTATATTTGTTAAGACATTGACATCTCCTGAGAATACAATTATCCATGTTTTGTTTTTCATCTGATTTTCCTTTTCTGTTGGTCATGGATTCGAATCCCCATCACACCAAACATGCTCGCCCTTTCAGCCATGGGGGGCATTATAATGTGATGGTCAATCCCACTAATCGTTGGTAAAAGAGTAGCCCAAGAGTTGGCAATGGGTGGTGAAGACTAGCTGCCTTCCCTCTAGTCTTACACTGCTAAATTAGGGATGGCTATTGCAGATAGCCCTCGTGTAGCTTTGTGCAAAATCCAAAACAAACAAACAAAGACATCAATGAATTACAAACACAACATTAATTAATTAATTGATAATACTATCTATACTAAATGGTCTTTTATATCTGACAATACCATGTTAACATCATCTAGAAAGAAGTAAAAATTTATGAAGTTTTTAAAATTATTTATCCAAAAATAAAACTCAATGAGATAAAAATCCCAAAACAAAGTTGCTGAAACATTGAGTAATATTGTAAGTAAAGGTATCGAGTTTGTCTTCATTGTGTGATAAATCTTATGCATCAACAACTTCATGTTGAATTTTACTGGAGAAAGTACATGATCCTCTGTACCAAGTTTGAAAGCGTGGTTTATCATGCGTTTTATAGCTACAGTTTGTGCTCTACTTGTTATGGATGTGCAAGGTGGATTTGTGTGTATAATAAATTGATAGCATTAGTTACAATGGTGCAAAGCTTCAGTGCCTTTGCCTTCAACCTTTTTTCACTTGTGATGTTTTATAATTGCAAGAATAATTTTTGTACGTGTCATGTATTGTTTTGTTTTTTTCTCACAGAGAGAGAGATTATGAATTAAGTTTCAACAGACCATTAAATATGTATATAAATTTATTCGTTAGACATTTACTTTTCTTTTATGCAATTATGATTTCTATTTTTATAATTTATTTTCACTTTTAATAATGAATTATCTAATGTATTCATGATGTTAGAAAAACACTTAGATTCAATAAATCAATTTAACATTACGATACCCTATAACCCGAGTGCTTTCAAAAAGTGGGCTTTTCCTCTTCGTGGGAAAATTTCTTAGTTTCCCCTTGAAGAAGAAAGATCCACCTTTCGAACTCACTTGGGTTATAGGTATCCTATTTTCGTCTAATGTACTAATGTGAAAATCAGATAGTTTCAGATTACTGCCAATAATTGACAAGATATTTGTGTGTTTTCATTGTTATTTCCTAATCTCTTTATGAACAGTCTTTGCAAAACAACTACTTGTATTGGATTAAATAAATTCTGCCCAGTTTTATATCCAGCAAGTTGATGATTTGGCTGAAATATATGAGTAATGATTGTAAAAGAAAACAACAGCAAGAGTGTTTGGTTTGTTCAACATTATCATAGGAATAAGTTTTCTTCAACGTCAGTAATGCCTTTTGAATGATTTGCTTTCCCATCTTTGCTATTCACAGTTTCAAGATTATGAATATAATTTTGATGAATTAATTTTAATGTTATGGAAGAAAAAGATCTTAGTTTTATGGTTCACCAATCTCTAAAATCATCTAAGCAATATGTTGTTTCACGTTCCTTACCTTGAATTGTTTGAAAGGATTCAGAGGAGGACTATTAGAATGATATCTGAGAAGGAAAGGATAGGTTAATATCTCTGAACTTGTTTTCTCTTTAAAAAATAAGAGTTCAGATGGGATCTTAAGATTTTTAAGGGAATTTATAGAGTTGATGCTTGATAAGTAATTGAATGATAAGGGCTGATCTTTAGGTTTTTAGTGTTTAGTTTAAATTAGTGGATAGAACAGCCTAGATGGACCAAAATGTATTTGTTGTCCTTTGATGTTACATTATTGTTCATAACTTTTTCAAGTTTTGACATGAAAGTTGCAGTTGTAGAGCGATGAACAGTTAATTAGAGGAAAGAGAGAATACTGCATTGCTTTATTGGATTCTGAGTGTTAATTGTCACAAGTAAAAGCTTATGTATTGAATGAAGATTTATGCCAAAGTGATGCAGAAAATTCTAGAATATTCTATGGAAACTATGAGCCCCATCCTACAATTTTTGTTTGTGATTGTAGAGAATGGGTTACTTCATACTGCATATCAGTCATTAAATGAAATTCTTCTGTCATCTATGACTATTGGAGAAGGCAAAGCATCTGTCTGAATTATATCTACATTGTTAATGTAAAGACACTCAAGTGAGTAAATTTAGAAACGTTAATTGTTATTTATAAAATAAAAAATGTAATTTTCCACAATTTATAAGAGATTGATGCATGAGACAATAACCAGAAACTATAATAACTTTAAAATATTTTTGTCTTCTAATGTTTAATATTTTGGTAATGAAAGGCTCAAAAAGTCTCAGTTATTTTATATAATAATTGAAAGATTACACGATGGCCTGTGATGGTTTTATTGTCTTGAAACATTTCCACTACAATAATTCCTGTAACCCGAATTCGAAAATTATATCAATTTTTCTCCGTCGCATACAGGTTTTTTTACACATGTAGTTTTGAGACTAAAAAACATGGATTTCACAATAAAATCAGGATGAATGAGAATGCATATTCATTTGACATCAATGTTCTTCCTTTTTCTTCAGTTTGTTTTTCTTTTCTTCCCGATTTGTAAAAAAAGTCATTACGTGATAGAAAAAAAATTAATATTATTTTCGAAATCTGTGTAGCTAAATTATAGAAAATCCATTATTAAAACCAAAAGAATATTTATGAAGTTTAAATTCACAGGCCTGTGTCACTTAAGTGATACCAACAAAATTCAATCAGTTGGTGTTATGACCAATAAACAGATTGATAACTGATAAACCAGTTAAAAGAAACAACCATAATAGTACTATCCTGGTACTATCAATCAACAGTACTTTTGTTTTTTGCACTATTACTGTATTATTTTTCATCTAAAATTTAGGCTGGAGTGTAAAAATATTTTATCTGAACAGAGAGCTTCGTCATGGTATTCCTGTTTTTGACAATAATGGCAACAAACTGGGAGACTCTAAGATAGCAGCAAAGTGGGCCATATCTCAGGTCGTCTTTTCCCGTATTCTAATGGCAGCTCCAGGGATGAGTAAGTGGAAGTTTGATTGAAAAGTTGCTTATAAGTTTTTGAAATAGTTTAAGAATTCCTGTCTATATTAGAATGGAAAGAAAAATGTTAACATTGAGAATGTGAAAAAATTAAAGTAACAAAAGATATAACATTTACATTATCAGTTTTTGTTTCATGTAAAAAAAAAACATACAAGTTGAATCCGAGTGAGAATTGAGCCTGTGTATTTATGATCAAGTTTTTCACCCTAATAGTTTGTAAGCATAAAGAACGTAGATCTACAGTTTTTTGCACTGAAATACTGTTGTACTGAATCATTTCCCTTAACATTATTAGCAAATTATTCTATCCTAGCACAAATACACACTTAAAAATTTGTATTCTGAAATACCTACATCAGTGACTGTTTTTGATTTTGTTGTCTCTTTTTTTACTTAGCAATTCCACCTTTTATCATGGATTACCTTGAAAAAAGAGGAACTCTCCAGGTAAAGTTTAATCTCATTATTCATTATATATCAGTGTTTTCTAAAACATGGGGTGCTCCCCCTCAGGGGCAAATGATCTCTATTAAAGGGGCGTGAATGACAAAGTTTTGGGAAATGCTGCATTATATAGTTCCAAGGGTGTTTGTATAACATTTAATTTTGCTGCAGAATAAAAACAAAAGTGAAAGAACCATTCTTGTTTTGTAGATTAACTTGGTTATCATATTATAGAAAAAGCTTTTATTTTAGAACACACCTTGTTTTACCAAATCTTTGATATGTGTCGTTATTAAACTAGTTTAATCAGGAAGTATATTTTAAACTGTGGTGGGGTACATTGGATCCTATTAGCCAAGACACCAATAGTCTGAATTATTCACAATCCAGGTGATCTTTCATGGGAAATCTAATCAGTATTCTGTATTTCAGATCCTAACAGTTATTTCTTATAATAAACATGCATTTTTTATGAATACATGATTTGATAACCAATATATGACTTCACGAGAGTCATGTAGGGATCAAACAGAACAGGACATAAGGTGATAATTACTGACTACCAAACACTTGTATAACTAGTGGTTACTGGTTTATAAAAAAATTTTCTGAGAGCGAATTGTCGGTAGGGATGTACATATAAACTGTAAAAGATATTGAGAGGTCATCAGAGTGACTTATTTTACATTTGTGATGTTTTATATGAAGTTGATGAAATGCCACTTTGAATATGCAATTTGTTTAATTATTGATGATGCATAATAAACTGATAAGTTTATTTTACAAACAGTTGCTTTCTGTTTAGCAGTTTCATCCCATCCCATACACTGTTAATAATGTTCATTGTATTTAAAGTGACTGATTCAACTACCTGAATGTCTGGATAATCTGGACAAATCAGTTCATTACAAGTACATTCAAATTAATGAGGTTTCACTATGTACTTTTTCAATACGAAAAAAAAACAGTTTTTAATGATGTTTCATAGAACTTTTAAATTTAAGTTTTAAATGACATTTTAGCAGGCAAAATTTCTGAAAACCCAATAAAACATTGAATAATTCCTCTCACCCTGGATCCTGGAAAACTATCTTGATGGAAGCTGAAATGTCGTTAGGATTTGCTCATTAAGTAAATTATTATTATTATCTTGAATTTTTTCCTCTACTTGAGAATGTAGGAAATGGGAGTGGCTAAATTTATTATTTTGTCGTTTTTGTTTTTCAGAGACTGCCGTGGATTAATGCACCTCTTCAAGTTGGACTATGTGGGATGTTGTAAGTTCTTTTGTCATACATTTTTTTTCTATACACTTGTGTAAATCTAAAGTGTATGTATCGTGGGAAAAGTTTGATACATTTGAAAGCTTCTACTTTAGAAAGTAAGTGTTATTGTGTGTGTGTAATCTTAAATGGAATTTCAACAAATATAATTTATCTTTTATTAAATTATTTATTTAACTGTTACCAAATAGCAGTTTTCAAGTACATGTTTAATTATCTCTCTTTTTTTTTATCAGCCTAGTATTTGCAACACCACTCTGCTGTGCTCTATTTCCACAAAAAAGGTAAGTAGATGTTATAGTTTGCCTCGAAGAAGTGTTTTGTCTGTCAAATAACTGCAAAAGTCAAAGCTTAAAAGCAAAATGGTTAGTAACTATTTTCTGATGAAATATTTATCTAGGCCCGGCATGGCCAGGTGGTTAGGGCACTCAACTCGCAATCTCTGGGTCGCGGGTTTAAATCCCC